AAACTGGAAGAATGAGAAAACACCATCACAGGAAGAAATTATTAAGAAAATGTTGGAATGTGCTGAGATGAGTAGATTGACATTTGAAATTAGAGAGCAAGAGGATAAACAATTTTATGAAATTTGGGATCTTTTTTATCAGTGGTTAGATGACAAAATACGATAATAGAATATTTAGAAAGTTAGATAGCAAGGAATACTTTTATCTTTTCTTTTGCCTATGTTATTTGACATTATATCTATAAAGTGTTTTTAGGATAGATTTGGTATGACTATATGATTTGTTATAGAATAAACGGCTTAAAGTTTTGTTCTCTCATAAAATATGAATGATTAAAAGTATAGTCAAATGATTTATTAATAGTGATATTAGGATATATGAGTTTGGATTGACAATATGAGTTGTTATATAATGTAACTGCAATTGAGACTATGAAATGAATGCACAAAACTGATGAACCAACCGACACACTGTATGTACATAAGAGAGTTGATGTTTTGATGTTTTGTTTGTCTTGTTTGTTTGTAGAAAATCAATAAAATTGGTTTAAAAAAAAATACCTTAAGAAAAATTATACTCTGATTTATGCTGTATTGTGGAAGAGAAGGAGGAAGGGGAGATAAATTAAAGGAAAAGAAAATTGTTGCTGACTCAATTGGTCAGTGACTTGATGGGAAGGACTGAAATGGTTAAATGAAATATGATTCTGAGTAGTTTTTTTAACTGAAAAGCACAGAGATTGTATGAAAGGTGCTACACAAATGCATTCTGTCTTGGTAGTATTGTTAAGAGTTGTTTGATGCAAGTCAATTCATCATAGGTAAACAGAATCTAAAGAAAGCTTTGCAGTTTCTATTATATGTAACTCAATAATATAAATATAAAATATATGTTTTAAGAAGTGGTTGTACTATTTTAATTAAAAAAACATAGAGACTACTGTCTTGGGTAAGACAGTGTCCCCATGGGCCACTCCATTTAGGAACTGTTGCATCAACAATTTTCTCTCAAGTCTTCTGTTGATTTGGAATTTAGCTGTATGGTAGTAAATCATAGACTGAATAATGAGAAAAGAGCAGATGAGTTTTAATAAGGAGAACAGAGGAGAAAATGATGTTGAAGAGGAAGGAGGATAAAGTGTAGTTGGCTTAGAGTTCAAGTCTAACATCTGCATAGCTTAGATGAGAGGAAGGTTGATATGCTCTGTAAACAATAATGTAAAAAAGAATTTCTGTATTACATGGTACATACTTACACCAAGGTGACACTGAAAGCTTCCCATAGGAAAAGTTAAGGAATATGTAGTAATATGACAATAATACAATAACATATATACCTGGGAATACACTGAAAAAATAATAAAAAACAGATCTGTGAACATCTAGAAACAAATAAAGTTATAACTAGTAGCCAGCACACATTTGTTAAAAACAGCCATGCCAAACCAATATTATTTCATTCTTTGACAGAATGACTAAATTAGTAGATCAGTGAAACTTAGTGATAAACTTAAACTTTAGCAAAGCATTTGACAAAGTAGACCACAACCTACTTCTTGGTAAATGTGGAATAGACAGCGTCACCACCAGATGGATTAGTAACTGGCTGACAAATCATACTCAATGAGTTGTCCTTAATGGTTCTATATCATATGGAGCAAAGTAAGCAGTGGGGTGCCATAGGGTTCTGCTTAGACTCAGCACTCTTCAATATCTTCATAAATGATTAGATGAGGTAAAGGGGAAGGGGAACTCATCAAATTTGCAGATGACACTAAACTGGCAGGAATAGCCAACAACCCAAAAGACAAGCTCAGGATCCAAAAAGATCTTGACAATTGAAAAATGAGCCCTATCGAACAACATAAAATGTAATGTAGAGAAGACCAAGGTTTTACACTTAGGCAGGAAAAACCAAAGATATAAGTACAGATTAGGCAAAACCTGCCTCAAACAGTAACTATGAGAGGGACCTTGGAGTCATAGTAGACGATCATGTAAACATGAGTCAACAGTGTGATCACACTGTGATCATATTAAGAGCAACTGTGTTCTTTTCACTGATGAAGCTATTCAACACCACTGACAATACTGCTACTCTTCAAAAAGACCTCGACTATGTGTCAGAATCGTCAAGCAAGTGGCAACTTCAAATCTCAACAAACAAATGGTCCGTCTTACATATTGGCAAAATAAATCAGAAAATAAAATACAAGCTGAATAGTCAAGACCTTGTTGATGACACCCACTATATCAAGGACCTTTGAGTACTCATCTCTAATGATCTAAGTGCTAGAGCCCACTGTAACTACATAGCCAAAAAGGCATTAAGAGTTGTTAACCTAATCCTGCGTAGCTTTTTCTCCAGTAATGTCGCACTACTAACTAGAGCATACAAAACATTTGCTAGACCAATACTTGAATACAGCTCATCAATCTGGAACCCGCACTACCTATCAGATATTAATACAGTCGAGAAAGTCCAGAAATATTTCATGAGAAGAGTTCTCCATTCCACTACTTGTAGCAGAATATCTTATGCCACCAGACTTAAAATTTTAGACCTAGACAACCTAGAATTACGCCGTCTTGGGTCTGACCTAAGTGTAGTACATAAAATTATCTATTACAATGTCCTACCTGTCAATGAATACTTCAGCTTCAAGCACAACAATACAAGAGCACACAATAGATACAAACTCAAGGTAAACCGCGCCAAACTTGATTGCAGGAAATATGACTTCAGTAACAGAGTGGTCAATGTCTGAAATACTCTACCTGACTCTCTGGTTTCTTTCCCAAACCCCAAAAACTTTAACCTTCTGACTGTCTACTATTGACCCTTTCCTAAGAGGTTTGTAGGGGGCATGCATAAGCGCACCATCCCTGTCCTAATGTTTCTTTTTATTCGTATCCATTTCATGTACTCATAACCATGTTTATATTTATACCTGTTAACTAACACTTGCTTGACAAAATAAATAAATAAATAAATAAAGTGTATAACAACAACCAAAAAAGTTAATGCAATCCTTGGTTTTATAAACAAAGGCATAGAATCAAGATTATAAAACCTTAGTAAGATCACGCCTGAAATATTGCATCCAGTTTTGGTCACCACATTGTAAAAAGACGTTAAGACTTTGGAAAAAATGTAGAGAAGGGCAACTAAGATGATTAAGGGCCTAGAGACAAAAATATATGAAGAATGGTTGCAGTAATTGGGTATGGCCAGTCTAGAGAAAATAAGCACAAGGGGGGACATGAAAGCAGTATTCCGGTATTTGAGGGGCTTGTATGATATTATTTAAGAAACATTTAGTTAGATAAACTGCATTTTTAAAAAGCCATGAAAGTGGGTATAATTTTTTCAGGATTGACCTACCAAAGAACCTCACCAGGCTTTGCATTCTATTTTCAGACACCAGGATAAAACTTAAAAGTTGTCTTATGAATTGTGGATTTTGGCCACTCTGAACCTAGTGTCCACATGTTTTATTATTTCTAATATTTATCAGTTATTATAGTTTCTTCACATGGTTCATATAGACACACATATACCATTCACTTTTGGAAGTGATTAATATTATATATATTACAAAGGGACGCTGTGGCCCAGTGGCTAAAATGCTGAGCTTGTCGATCAGAAAGATCAGTTTGGCAGTTCGAATCCCTAGCACCACATAACAGAGTGAGCTCCCGTTACTTGTCCCAGCTTCTGCCAACCTAGCAGTTTGAAAGAATGTAAAAATGCAAGTAGAAAATAGGGACCATTTGATGAGAAGGTAATAGCGTTCCATGCGCCTTCGGCATTTAGTCATGCCAGCCACATGACCACGGAGACATCTTCAGACAACGCTGGCTCTTCAGCTTTGTAACAGAGATAAGCATCACCCCTAAAACTGGAAACGACTAGCACATATGTGTGAATGGAACCTTTACCTTTAATATTATATAAAGCACAGATATGCATTCTGATATATCTATATATTGCTTATACATTATAGTTAGAGAGATGGGAATGATAGTATGTTGGCTTGAAAGGTACACAATAGATTGGGGTAAAACTGGGCTGTAGTTATACTTTTACTTGCAATGGTCAAAATATTCATACAGGGATATCTGCTAGAGTGGTGAAAAAGTCAGTATGATGGCTATAGGCATGAAGCTAAAAGAGTACCACTTTTTAAAATGTGCATCACATGTGGAATTTCAGTTATAACTGACATTTGACATATGACATTTTTTTAAAGCTCACTCCCTCCCATGGCCACCCCAGATTACTACAGCCAGTTAGTCTTGCTAAACTTGAGTCAAAACCTTTTATTCTCCATCCAGCCCTCCACAGTTTTCAGGTATTCAGGCACTGTGATGGCATCACATAGACAAAGGGCAAAGTTATACACCTGAATATCATTACCATATTGGTTATTCCTAATTTAGTACAAATAATTGAACTCACCTAGTGGCTACAGATAGGTAGTAGGGAGAGTGTTGAGCCCTGAAGTCTAGCATTGGATCTTTGCTTCCTAACAATATTGTCTGGAACTTGCTATACAGGAAAGAGAAGAATTACTGTAAAATCATGTTCAGCACTCCCAAATCCATGAGCCTATTGAAAAGGCTACAATGGTTGATAATGAAGATTGCTAAAGATCCAAGAGAACAATAATAAATACAATGCTCCCATTCTATTCCTACCATTGACAAGAGTGATTGATACCATCTCAATGCTATAGTCCAGTTTATATTTATCTGTAATCTATCCACTCCAGGGCAGCAAGCCTACTGTCATTTCTACAGCCTTCCCTAAAAACAGGTTTAGTGGAAACCAAAGACAAGTTACCATCTAGAAATAATTAAGATTCCATCTTCGGCAAAAGGAGCAAATTCATAGTTTTTTAAAAAAAGAAAGATAAGGCATTGATGTGTACAGACTCACTACGCATATTTCTTGTAACCTAGGTTGCATGTGAAGCATAATACATTTTCTATTTCAGGTATACTAAACCACTTACCTTTGCTGATTGCATAAGTGACGAATTGCCATTAGGATGGGAAGAGGCCTATGATCCCCAGGTTGGAATTTATTACATTGACCATAACACCAGTAAGTGTAACATGATTTTATATTTAATGCATAAGTGGCTTTGATATATAGCACTCATTAGTGCTCAGCATACATTGAAAATTATAAAGAATAGATGATTCAGAATATGAAGGGGAACAAACATTTTAAAGCAGATAAGTATTTTTTCAAAGTTCTGCACAAACTTTAAAGTAATGTAATCTGATGGATATGAGTTGTTGTTTTTTTGTTATTTATGTTATGAAAGGTGGTTTTTCTGTAAAATAATCTTTACTGCTGTTTTAAAAAGTCTGATAAAATGTATCTTCTTTATTGGATCATTTTGCACATTTTAAAATAATTATGGAATTATATTAAAGATTTACTTAAGTGAGATATTTTATTTATTTAAATGTTAATTGGTTTAATTTTAAAATACTTTATGACATGAGTGTGATCTGCCTTACAGTAGCTTTGGTTTTTAAATGCTGATTTCTTTTCCAGTAGGGAAAAATATGCAGAGTACAGAAAAAGAAAAAGAAGGAATAAGGCAAAGAAATTAAATTCAAGGAATAAGAAAAAAAGAAAAAAGAAAATTTAACTCAATTTAGGTTAACACCAGTCACTCATTTCCTTCTGTCCTTGTAAACCAAAGGTCTTCAAACTTGGCAATTTTAAGACTTGTGGACTTCAACTTCCAGTTTTCCCGAGCTAACATGACTGGAAAAGGAATCTGGGAGTTGAAGTCCACAAGTCTTAAAGCTGTCAAGTTTGAAGACCCCTGTTGTAAACCATCCTAGCTTCCAATATATCTACATATACCACATCATGCATTGTTTCTGGTTCTTTAAACTTCTCGCCTCTTAAGGGTTTTAGTAGCTGCATCCAGTCAAAACTTTTTCAGTCTTTTACTTCCTCTCAACCTATTTGTTCTTCCTTCATATATTCTTGGGGATTGGATCCTCATTCTTTCTGTCCATATGACCAAATCTCTTAAATGTACTTATTTTGTACACTTGCTGATTGTTTTAATTAAGTTCTCATTCATTCATTCATTCATTCATTCATTCATTCATTCATTCATTCA